GTGAACTGGTGTCCTCCACTAAACTAAACACCAAATTTATTCTCACGCATCTTCAGCTAGCCGATATTTTCACTAAAAGTCTTTCACACCCGTTGTTTGAACGTTTTCGTACCAAGCTTCGTGTTGGTCCACCACCGCTTAGCTTGCCAAGATTAAATATGTGGTCGGCTAAAAACACTTTCCATTTTAAATATGTGGTCGGCTAAAAACATTCTTCAATTTTTGAAACACATGGAGAATGGTCTCGTTCAACTTCAAACCCATCTCTATATTCAATTATTATTGTTATTTCCTTTTTAACAACATATATTCAAGTTCTAGTAATCGATTAGAAATAATAAAAACGATACTTTACAAGGTCATTGCATTCAAGCATTTCAAATAACATCTATTTTAGAAGCTCTATTATTTAACAAAGAAAACAAATTTAAGAGAGTGTTTGGATAGGGAAAAAAATGGTGTTTATTGTTTATTGCTTATTCTCACCACAATAAGCTAAATTTAAGTGTTTGGATAGGAAACCTTAAAAATCAGCTTATTGTGGTAAAAATAAGCTAAATAAGTTGATTTTAATAAACATTCCCCATTGCTTATTGCTTATTGCTTATTCTCACCACAAACACTTTTGCAAAAACTGTTTATTCTCACCGCAATAAGCTAATAAGCTATAAGCTAATTTATCCAAAAACCCTCTAAAATTATACTATAAAAAATGGAATTATTACGCATAGGAATCTCATCATAAACCACCGAATTTCGTTGCTTCCAAAACAGCCACGTTGTAGTCATAATAATCACCTCAAGCCGCTTCTTATTATTCGACCATCGGGGTCATCTACCCAAAAAAGTCATTCAACTATGGAATTATTCACAGGAAAAACAATATCACACCATTTCTGTACACACGACCACACTTCTATCAAGATATGACAATGGATAAATCGATAAGAAGTTGTTTCTACACCCGTTTTGCAAACTGGACACTCCAAAGAATCCAAGTCGATGCTTTTTTTTATAAAGAAAACCGAATTGGAAGTCTATCAGCAATAGCCACCAAATAAAAATATTTACCTTCATAGGAACTATTTTGCACCACTTTGAACTTCTAACATCATCAACAAGAGAAACATCATTTATACCTTTTCTAGTTGAATTAACTGTAAAACATTCAAGCGGGTTAAACATCCATATATACGAATCTGGATTTGTTGTTGTTTAAATACCATGCACCATCTCCGATAAACCCTATAATTGTTCATTTTCACATCCACCTCTAATATATATATAATCTCAAAGCCCATATAAATATAAAAGATTAAATATTTATATAAGTTTTAAGCCTAAAATTATGAACTACTAATAAATTCATTATTACTCTGAGACTACCCTCATTGGGGGTGATTTGAACGAGCGGCTCACCACTTTTTATTTAAAAATAAATAAAAACTAAATATGTTTTGATGATCTAAGCCGGAGGAACGATCCATGCTCACCAAGGCTTGACACTTTTTAAAATCAAATACACCCACGTGTTCTGCATTTGTCCATCATTCACTATTAGGGTTAAATAGTTTTTTCTAATTAAATCTAATTTTGTTAATAACTGTATTTTATTTTAAGTATAAAATTAAATAAAGTATACCAAAATAGATGACTAATTTTTCTCTACAAAATGATACAAATATTAATATAGTTTTTATTATATTTTTTTAATATAAAAATTGGTTTGGGTTGGATTGATAACGAGAGTAAAATGTTGGATTTAATTGAGTTATGAATGTTGATTAGAGAAAAATTAGTTATTTAATAAATAATTGGGTTGGATTGTATTGTGAATGAGAATAGTTTAAGTTGATTACAAATTATTGTTGTTATCTTCTTTAAGAAAATAGTACCAGTAGTAGTCTACTACTATTAAAAATAATAATTGTTGGTCAAAATGGTTATTATTTTTTATAGTAGTTTAGGTTTTTATTATATATATATATATATATATATATATATATATATATATATATATATATATATATATATATATATAGGGTCCGGTACCGGTGATGATTAAAAAAATGTGACGACTATGAGTATAATTCTACACCATCCATTTTGTCTAGGGCACTAACGTCAAACCTAATATTTGGGCATGTCGCGTTTGCATGCGACACACGTCTGTGATGATTAACACGGACTCGAAAATTTAATCACGTGCAACGAACGTCAATAAAATGCCATTTAAGTGAGTTTTATTATTTATTTTCATTTTTTTAATTCATTTTAAAAAAAATCAACTTTTTTGAACTTATATATACTTCGATTTTCAGGTTTTTTTTTTATTTTTGTTTGTTTTTTAAAAAAATTATTTTTTTCGTTTTTTTTATTTTTTTATTTTTTTTAATGTCTTTACTACATACTTGAAGATACTACTGTTTTTATTTATTTTTGTTTTATTTTTGATTTTTTAAACTAAATATCGGTTCGAGTGTTCAATGTTTAACAATTATAAAATTTTAAATAAGAAAAATATTAATGATCATAATATTTTCTATTCATACTATTTTTGAATCATATTAGTTTTGGATTATAAAATTTTGAATCAAATTATTTTGAATCATAGTATTTTGAATCAAATCATTTTTTAATTATATGATTTTGGATCAATAATATATTCAACTAAATAAAATTCTTTTTTTAAATATATAGTGATCCATAAAATATTTGAATCTAAATATTTTAGATCGTAACAAATTAATGATCATAAACAAGTTGAATCAAACGTTTTTTTGAATCATAATATTTTGGATAGTTTTATGTTAAATATATTTTTTAAAAACTAATATTTCTTAAAATTAAAAATAAAGACTTCAAAAGCTTATTTTTGAAAAAAATCATTTTACAAAGTCAGTAGTATATTAAGTAGAAGTATTTCTTAAATTTTTATGATTCTTGGAAAAAAAATTGGGATTTTTTATAAAATAAAATAAAAAAAATCATAATTGTGCTAATTTTGTAAAGAACTAAATTTTAAGAACTTTGGTTTTTTCAGATTCTTTTTTTCAAAAAAAAAAATTTATGACCAAAAATCAAAGTGGGGGTTGACATGAGACAAAGAAAAATGGGGGTGGGGGGAAATGAACGCGGGCATGGTTTTTTTTTTTTTGTTTTGACTATTTACTTTGATTATATGTTATGGAAAATTACTTTTGATTATATGTTATGAGAGCAAAATACCCAATGATCTCTCTCTCATTATATGTTATGAGAGCAAAATACCTGATGATCTCTCTCTCTCTCTCTCTCTCTCTCTCTCTCTCTCTCTCTCTCTCTCTCTCTCTCTCTCTCTCTCTCTCTCTCGAAAAACTCTATGGTCTTACAAACATTAAAACATATATTCCATGTATTTATGATCTAGATCGTTTAAGCTGTGATTGATTGGGGCAATTATTCGAAACTCATTGTAATGGTTTTAGAGTTTCATAACACCACGTTGAAACGAACAAAAAAAGCACCATAAGACAAAAGCATAATGGGATAGAATCGAATCAATTATCAAGAAGTGGATTTATGAGACAATCTCATAGCCATAAGAATTTTGTACGACAAAGCATAATAGAATATGATCAAGTCAATTAATGTATGTGGTCCATACATAAAGGGTTGTTCGGGAGGACTTCACCCACCACATAAAGACAAGATGGTTAAAGTTGAAGACAAACATAAAAATTTTGTAGGACAAAAATCCTAATGAAAGTGAAGGTGGCAGTAAGGCTAGCTATGTTATGTGAATCAAAATGTTGTTTGTTTAAATTGGAGCATGGGGGAAGATGGAAGTGGCGAAAATAGGTTTTGAGGTGGACTTGTTGTATACCATTGTTAGACAAGGGATTGAATATGTCAATTCTAAAATTCATAGGAGAGTGGTGTAGATCATCAGAAAATTGAAGGAATAGAGATTGTGAGTGGTTTGGGCATGTTTAAGGAGACAACCAACAATTGTCTTTCTGAGGATAAAGATAATCATAATCGATGATGCAAAAATGATGACACGTAAGTGAGATGAAATTGTGAGGTTGCACATGAAAAAATTTGACTCTTACTAATGACATAACCTTAGATAAGAGGAAGAGGATGTTGATACGTAAAATCAAGATTGTTACTACTCTTGTCTTCTTTTACTTTTCTGTTATATAACTGTTTTTATTCACCATTACGAGCTTACAATTTTAAATGTCAAAGCTTATCAATAAAATAAGTTTTTTTTACCCTTGGATGAAAGTGTGAGTACATATATCGTACCTCACTATTACCTTTTGTTTCTATAAACCTATATTAAAAATATGTTTTTTTTGTTGTATTATGAAAAATATGGTGATAGACTTATTGTAAAACTTTTAAAACTTGGTATCATCTGCACCCTACAGATGTAGGTTTTGGAACTTATCAATTGAACTAGATGGTTGTATTAAATGAAGTCGGTCGAAATTCAACTAAATGCTTTGAAAATTGAGATCACAAGTCAAAGGAAGCACGAGTTGGTTGTAGCCTTTTAGCCATCATTCTTCTTTAAGATCCTATTTCTTTGTTTTTGACTTTTAATTCTTCCCACAACCCACAAATAACTACTAATCTATTACTATTTATTAATCATAGTCAAAATAACCACACTTCTTAACTTCTTTTATTTATTTTATTTTCATCTCCAAATTCCAATTTTAAATACACATAACATAACCACCATTAATTACTTATATACCATATACACAAGATTTGTTACAAATAATGAAAGATATAGAAAAATTAATAATATAGAAACTCATACAATAAACAGACAAAAAAAATCAAATTTGTTTTATAGCAGATCAAAATCAAAGGTGGAACATGTTCACATCAAAAAACTTTTTCGATTAATAATTCAAGAAAACCCTAACCCAAGATGCGCAAAGATTCGATCCATAAACACAAACAACTAGAACAAGTAACGACCACGTTACACAAAGTACCTTTTAGCTGCCGTTCCCAATTAATTTATTCCTAAACAATCAGACCAAAATTAACATTATTGAAATCGCATAAAATAAAATAAAATCATTGAAAATCTAAAACATATACAATCGTAGAAATCTGGGCTTTTTTTGTTCTTGTTTTCCACTGTATTATGTGAAGAAAATAGCGAATTGTTAAATTCATAAGTTACGTTATTTTCCATATACCCCAATAAATGCTAAAAATAAACGTTAAGTTGAAGTAATTGCCTTGTTCGTTGCAGCGGAAGCCGGAAAGTTGTTGTCAGCCTCTATGCATCGGCGACCGTTCATGGAGTTGTAATTTGGACGTCTTCGATTGTCGGAACGCCTTCATTGGACTCGGGAAGTACCACCCACGGCGTTTCGCGGCTACCGGACTGAAGCCGTGACTGGCCCCTACAGCTACTGATCTGGATCTAGCCATCCTTGAATAATCTTCAGTTGCGACGGAGATATCACTTTTATTCGATTCGTCATCCTGTTCGCCGCCGTGTGCATCGCATTTTTTAGTTTTATTCACCTTGAAAACCGACCAGAAGTTTATTTTGCTCCGGCTAACCCTCGGCAGAGGTTTTTTGTCTTCCTCGACGAACTGTTGATCGAATCGACCACCGACGTACTTCGATCTCGATCGGAGGAAGGGAATCGCTAGAGATCTAGATTTCCTAAACGCAGGTTCACTTTCGATTAGATTCGACACGCGACCGACTTCCCCTGCGGCGGCGGACGACAGAAAACCGTCGCGGAGGCTACCGCCACGGGAAAACTGGAAGATAGAAAACGATGAGGAAGACGAAGAAGAAGAAGACGTCGAATCGGCTTGAGCTGGACAACACGCACATGGACGAGTATTTGCACATTCTGGACAGAGTGTAACGAGGCGTTCACGGAGGCATGTAGGGCAGATACCACTCCTCCGCCGCTTCGACGGATGCTTTGGACATTTCCATACTTCTTCTTCATCCAAGTAAAACGCCATGATCGTGTTCTTAAAAATATAAATAAAATCACTGTGATTCTGTTGAATCTGTTTGTAACGGATTTCGGTTCTTTCTCCCTCCACAACTTTCTCTCTCCAGGAATCAGCCCATTTGTTAGCGGGTGGGATGCTTAAAAAGGACGACGGAATGGACTAACCATGGTTTAGGCTTAGCATACCATAGTTGAACTATATGGGTCTCGTACTCACATTTTCACACATGGATTAAGTTTGAGCGAGTAACAAAACTAGTCCTCGAGTCAACAGCCATTTTCTTTTAATTATGTGAACTTTTTTTTTTCTCACTTGGAAAAATCACATAAAAACCCTATGTATTATACCCCAGTGTTTAAAAAAATCCTTATATTATTTTTTTTTTTGTAAAAACTAACCATCATTCTTTCTGAAACTGTCTAACTTATCTAATTCATCAGGTAACCCTAGGTTACCCGTTCTCAATACTCGATGTGGATTACACCTTCACTACATCGACCCCTTGTTTTACCTTCAATCGATCCATCTGTAAAAAAAAAGGTTTGTCCAATGTGAAGGAGGGAAAAGTCCGTGGAAGTGGCGGTAAAATCAGTCTCAACACTTCTCGTCAACAGGTAATCGACTTGAAATTTTGGTTTTTTGTCGTCCCCACTATAATACAGTTACCAACTTACCTTCATGTCTTATTCACTTATTTTTTTGTTTGCATTGATTGTTTAAGGAAACTTTAACAAACAACCATGACTTTAACTTCAAGTTGTGAAGTTGAAGCTTATATAGGGATGGTTTGAGTGGATCAGATGAGGAGTCCAACGAAGAAGAATATGTTCCTTCTTCAATAGACAAGACAATATGGGATCCCTTTTTTAATGACTTGGTACAGGGAGAAATGGAATTACCTGAAATATCATCTGATGATGTTGAATAAACCCCTTCAGATGAAGAATTTGACAATGGAGAGGGCAAAGATCAGGAAATTGGGGACCAATTTCTTGTACACAACCCTAGTATACCTTGGAATAAAATGGAACCACACTTGGGGGGAAAATACAAGAGCCCAGAATAGTTCAAGTTTTGTCTAACAAATTATGAGGTGGCTAATGTATACCAATTGAGGTTTGCCAAGTGATCGTTCTAGGATATTAGTATGTTGTGGCAAGAAAAGTGACGAGAGTAAGTTTCCATTTAGATGTTATGTGTCTTGGATGGGAAATGAACTAACTTGGCAAGTGAAATCATTGGAAAAGGAACATGTTTGTGCACGAAAATACAACCTCGGGTCATTGATAACTCCGAGTCGGATTGCTAACCATTTTCTCAATCACCTAATTCGCAAACCTAAAACAAAATTCAAAGAAATGAAAGCTGGTTTTTTACAGAATTATTCATTAAAACTTAGTAGAGGTCAGTGTGAAAGGGCAAGGACATTAGCATTTGCACTAATTGATGGCAAGTTGATTGATCAATATGCTAGGATATGGGATTATGGTAATGAAGTTTTGAGATCAAACCCGAGAAGCATTGTTGACATTGGAGTTGATGTCAATAGGGATGCAATATATTTCAAAAGAATTTACATTTGTTTTAAGGCTTTAAAAGAAGGATGGTTGAAAGGATGTAGTAAAGTGATTGATTTAGATGGATGTTTCTTGAAAGGAAAAGTTAAAGGGGAGTTGCTAGCTGTAATTAAAACCACTTTGCCTTAAATATTAATTTTGAAACAAACATATACATACCAAAAAGAAAAGATAATAAAAAAAACATGTATGTGGTGACAAAAGAAAGTGACATTTATACACTTATAAATCAATTTAATTTGCATCATACCTCATACCTATTTGTTTTAAAAACACATGTAATGTAATTATTAATCTTTTAAGTTAATTGTTGTTTAATTCTTTAATTGATGCACCAGTTCATCTTTTCCAGACCTATGATGTCACTACACCCTTAAAAATTACATATGATGTGTTTGTAACAGCAGGATAACGAAATAAATGGGGGTAATTTTGGCCAAATACATCAATACTCATCATTGCTATAAAATCGAATCAAATTAGTACCTGATAACACTACAAAATTTACATAAACAAGACCAAAGTTACATAAGAATGATAATATTACAAAAAGAGCATCCAAACTTCCAGTTTTACATAAATAAGTTGCAATTCTTTAACAAACCCAATTAGATACCGATTTTACATTAACCTAACTTTCCATCTTACATAAATATAAACCAGACGAAGATTCCAACTAGAATAATAGCAAACAACTTTACTTTATTAGTCCCCTTCGTTTTGTTTTATTACTTTCTTTTGCAGGTCCTTGTTCTCATTCTCCAATTCCCTAGTCTTCTTGGACATGCTCATATTCTCCATTTGCAACTTATTGATTTTATTCTTAAACCAGTTAATAGGTAATTCATCATCCATCCATACAAAATGTTTACAATCTTTTGAATCATCCTACAAAAAAATGAAGTATCTGAGTAAACATTATAATAGAAACAACAATAATTTTAAATGCATTTCACATACTAGAGAATTAGGGCACCGAAAGAAATGTCGGCTTGGGTTCTTCCCGGTCGTTGAAGTCTATATCCTTGGTTGTTCACCACATTTACACTTTTTTATTCTATAGCTTGAAGTTGAGGAAGAAGAAGATCCAATGGATGGATCACACATTAGAGATGTAGCACGAACTCAACAGAAAAAGTAGAAGAACGAGTTTGCAGCTTCTAAGGAGAATAAGACACACCCTTTTTAACCTAGAAGGAATTAAAAGCACGTCATCTATTTAAGGTCATGTCATCCAATTTAAAGTCACGTCAGCTATGTCACCGGTTGCTTAGGGCTAACCGGTCACAAAGCATGAAAACAATCAAAGTTATAAAGAATAATGGTTAATTTGTACAAAACAATAATATAAGAGTTTTTTAAGCATTAGGACATAATACATAGGGTTTTTTTTGTGGTTTTCCCTTCTTGCTTTTAATTAAATGAAGATTTTTTTATTTTTGTTTCAGTTTGGTTGGCGATGCATCTAATTAAATCTATAGAGGTTAATCACGAGCACAAAATTTGACTATTGATCATTAATCACATGATGAATCATGAAGAAATTTGGTTATCAACTTACCACAATAGAGAGTTTAAAACATGAACGATGATTCGTACATAATAATTTTTTTCATACATAATAATTTGTACTTTAAAACATTATATTGTATAGCTCTATAAAACATAAATTGTTGTGTATGAGAAAAAAAATTGTTTAAAACAAAAGATATTAACTAAAATAATTATTAAAAATAAATATGTCAATAAAAATAACTAAGTTTTTTTTAGCTTTGAAAAAATGATTATTTCGTCTAAATTGGGTCATGCACGATTCTCACAAAAAAAATCTTACAAATAGTATATTCCACCAAAAAAAAAAAAAAAAAAAAAAAAAAAAAAAAAAAACTATTCCTAACTATCAAGTACAACTCTGCAATTCAATAAATAATTCCGAAATTTGCTTTGTTTTTTAATGCAAATTTATCTAAATTTTAAAGAAATATAGTTAATGGAGAGTAGACACGCTAAAATAATTTAAAATTGATCGAAAAACAGTGAATTAGAATGCCATTCGAAATAACCATTTTGGAAACAAGTATAGAATTATTTTTGGTAAAAACGAAAAAAAAGTACAAGAAATACATAATTTTGTCTAAATAATCAATTATCTCGACTTTCAGCTAAAGTTATTTGATACGTTGGAGTATATTCTTTATCAGTCTAAAATAGCTCAGGTTCAACCCAAAAGTACTTATTTACGCCTAGTCATCTTCCCAAAATACAAAAACCGGATTATTTTTGTTTAACAACTTTATTCCTAACGTTTGTTTAGTTAATATCCCTTACAACAATAATCAATAGGCACGGTGACATGAAAGATAAAAATATACTAAATGATTACTTGAATTTGGAAACATAAAATAATCGTATTTAATAACTAGTGTTTATTTGGTAAATTATATAAATCGTTTCATATGGTTAGAATAATTTACAAGTTTTATCCATGTAATATTTCTTCTTCTTTTTTTTTTTTCGCTTGAAGAGACCTCATAGTTTGGAATTGTTTCGATTTTTGCCTAGTACCGAATTAAAATGAACATTTTATGATTGATGATATTTTTTACCTTTTATATTATTTATCTTGTTAATACAAATCTTCATAAATGGTCCTTATGATTTTCCAAAATATCAAATTTAATCTCTCATTTTTTTCGTTTTATGGAAGGTCCTTGTGGTTTGCTTTTGACCCACATAAAAAGACTTATCATTTTTTAGATTTTTTTAATTTAATCTATTTAAAATAAATAAATAAATAAATAGAATCTCACCCCTTTTAATAAATGGTCCTGTCTCCTCTCCCTCTTTTTCGTCACCCTCACTCGTCGTCACCCCTTCCTCTTCTCCAAACCTCAATTGCTGACAAATCGAACAAAGAAGAGGAGAAATCAGAGATCTTGAGGTGTTCCTGCGATGATATTTTCTTCCGATGAAGCATGCCATGCTTGGATTCGATATATCCGAGGTTCGATTTTTTCATCCTGTGAGGATAGGAATTCGATTCCTGCGGTGATTGGTTTGATTTTTTCGAGGTTAATTACCATGGTGAACCTACAACCTATGTGGAGAAAGTTATGAGCATGGGGCGTTCAGTGGTTGAAGAACAAGGGTGAGTGGTTGCCAGAGGCTTAAGTGGTGATGGAAATTGTAAAAGGGGTGACGAGCGTACTCACATCGGTCTAGAATAACTCATATTTCATTCGATTTTGGGTTACATGTCTAAGTGATAAGGTAATTTGAATGATAAATAGGGGAATACCCTTTTGGCTACGTCTGTGTTCTATTCGGAAATTAGATGGTGATGGCGGTGTTTTGTGATGGTGGTGTTGGTGGGTAATAAGAGATATAGTGGTGCTGGAGTGAAGGTATAATATGTTTTTGTAGTAAAGA